ATTTATCCAACTTTCTGGAGTTGCTTTGTTTAAAATACCAAAACTTTTAGTGAACAATGAACTCTTTTAACAAATGTAATTTGTATAAAAAATTCTTTAAGATTGTTGAATTGCTTTATTAATTCAGAGACATACATGAAACGAAATCGATATTTTTATTTGATGGTCAAATTGTTTCCTCTTTTCAATTCCTCTTGCGTTGACTGACTGGAGTCAAATACATTTTGCATGTAAAAATAATTGATGTTTAGAGTACAAGGCAAAGGTTTATATTTCTCGAACACTTCTAATCATAATTAGAACAATAGGAATTTAACCACATCACTTTTAGAGCAAAACACGCCAAAAAAAAAAAAAAAAAAAAAACGAAAAATGTAACGAAATGAATTTACTGTAGGTTAATGTGTGCTCGTTGATTGTTGCAGATTACGAATCAACCAATCATTAAAAAAGGAATTTATATCAGTGGCAAATCGAATTCCTGATTTAGAAGCGAACAAAAGAGAAGATTTATTTTCTATGGCGGATGCTTCTTTTTCTTTTCTGAACAACAGAGAAAACATTTTCAGACAATGATACACAATGTTAAGCAGAAAGTAATTGTACATACAATTATATTAAGAAACGCAGTAAAATTAATGTACTCTTTATAAGTAAATTAAAATTGTGGAAATACGAGGCCATATCACGTGGGAAGACCGGTTCGTGTACGATCAGCGAAATTAAGCAATGTCTGAGCCTGGTCAGTGCCTAAATAGGTGACAGCTTGGGAATACCAGATGTCGTGCTTGAATGTACGGCTGGCGTAATGGTTAACGATCCGGAATTGGAAATCAGTGAGTCGAGTTCGTTATACTACGCGCAAATATTCTGAAGAAACTTATGAGTCCACCTTTCCACCCCAGGTATGGCTAAATTAGGACTTGTATCAGTACATCATTGTCTCCGAATCATTCGTTCAATCTAAAAATATAATCACGGCTTTAAATAACATGCAAAGGGTTGATAAGCAGTAAAACAAATAAATCCATCAATGTGAAAATGTGAAGATGGCTACTGTATCGAAGAAAACGACATTATCGATGGCAATATATGTATAAACCTATATTTTTATTAATATAATTTCAGAATATCGTCAAGTCACGAGTTGAATATGAGGGCATATGTATTGCAGCCATAGTTGTGTGCCTTGGGCAACATATCCTGACGGAGCCAAACATTTTTCTCCTAGACTGATTGAAACCTCAAGACAAGCGAGTCCAATCTCCCCTGCTATTTAACCCATAGCTAAGAGAAGATGGATTAATGCTCTTTGCAGATGAATTATCTGCGTCTCCTTCCAAAATGTTAAAAAAAAAGATTACGTAAATTAAATAATAGAATAAGATCTTGAAATGGTCGCTCCGTTTTAGGCCATAATCCTCTTCCTTTTAGTCTTGCTATTTGGCCAGGAGACAAATCTTCGACAACAGTTCTAACGTTCATAAAACTTAAGGCTGCATTTTCCAATGGCAAAACCTTTTAAGTATTTAATAATAATAAAATACTTTCAAGTTGCCAATTGTCTTTCAGTGTTGACGTACATGTCGTGTTATGTTTGTCATACTCAACTCATAAATTAGTGATAACCAGTTTTCTCCTTTAAAGGTTCTCAATGGTTGTGAGTGTTAATAAAAGCTAAGTGCATTAATGAGAGTGAGTTTAATGTTGGTGTTGTCTTTGATGGATGTGTCAGATTTATTTGTACGTGGTCTCAGAGCTGATATCTAAATTTAAAGCAGTGTTTAAATCTTGAGAGCACTTCTGCAAAATACTAAGTATTATTGAAAGCATAACTTTTCTCTACAAGAATAATGAAAAGTTAAAATGTTTCTCAAATTACCCGCTGATGAAAATCAATCATTTCTTGTGAAATTTGGAGATGTAGCTATTAATTAAACTTTATCTCACAGAATATACATAAAATTGTATTGACGACGTAGACCATCAGGACTGTACCTAACTTCCTATGGTCTTAGCAACATCTCTGAGTAACGTCTCTGGGCAACGTCTCTGAGCAACGTCTCTTAGTGTTGAAACTTGACTAATGCATGGAATAATAATGCAACACAAAATGTACTTAGAACAAAATGTATTGAAACAAGGCAGTGTACACAATATTTACATATAGTCTTTTGTATATTCCTGGTAAGACCGTTCCTGGAGAATGTGTTGACTGAGTCGCAGTCGGGCAGAGTCTCTGGTTGAATCTCTTGATTCCTCCCTCTCTTCCCGGTACCAACCATATTTATATGGTCGGTACACCACTATGCAAATTAGGTGGATCCTACCACAACACTTAGCAAAGTCTCTTTACCATGCTTCCTACTCCTTGTTCTGACATACATTCAAACAATATTTGTTACTTTTGCCTTTTGAATTTCTCCAAGCCATCTTCACTTATTTTGTTCAATAAATACTCTGACTGGGATATTTACGTTGTTCGGAGTATTTTCCTCATTTTTATTGTCGTATTCAAGACGTTTCGGCCGTTGTACAAACCGCACTTCTTCTAAGGCTAAGAGCATTTCTATTATGATCCATCTGATCCTGGTACTTAGTCCCTATACATCTTGTCTAGTGTGGATCTTACTTCAGAATTTAATATTTCCAGTCCTGCTATATTTGTGTTTATTACAGGATCCACGGTCTTATTATGAAATAGTTCTCTAACGTATTTACTCCATATTTAGAGTATTCTTTCTTTTGTTTTGTGTGTGTATACGACAATAATAATTCAGTTTAGCTAAGATAATTCTGTCAGTGTTGACAATATCCCAGAACACGATTTTTCATCTCATTATCTAGTATCAAACCTACTCCTCTTTCATTTATCTATTTCCCCTCCATACTGTGCGTATTGATGAAGAAATCCCTATTAATTGTCCACCTTGTTTCACATATGCCTAGAATGCCAGTGTTCTACAGAGAATCGAATGCAATCATTTTAGAAATTACTTGATTCCAAATGAAATAATTGAAATCTCTCCAAAGCAACATAAGATGAATCTGATGCTTGGAATAAGGCATTAGAACATTCTGAAATAAATTTAATATATTTACGAAAATACTCAGTCCCAAAGGTGAGACAAAAAAAAAAAAAAATTATGACTATGCTTCTCGTTTCAGTTTTATCTTATCTAGTTTCAGGATTATCTTCAAAATGATGTAAGGAATTACAGCCATCTTTGGAAAATCCATTTTGAAGCTTAGAGAATGATGATAAATGGAATTTTAAATTAATTACTTAATGAAATTCTTTGTTGGAACTTGAGTTGTGTGATATTTTCAGAAGATTTTCAGAAATTTCATTATTGAATTTTATTAATATATAAATATATATTAGTTATCAAGTGAAAAGTAAGGAATACAGAAAACTGTATTACTTTGCTGATTTTCGATTAAAACTGAATAAATATCATTAATGCGAAGTTTACGCTAATTTTAATTCTAAACATATGCTACGTCCTCTTTCTATTTAATTCGATCACAAAACTAATTTTTTTCTGCAAACTATCAAGCAATAAGTGCCGTTATCATGTTTGCAGATTTTATGCATATATCATTATAAAATATATTATAACATTTTACGTAACTATCATTATAATAACAGTTATCCAATTATCTCCCTTGTTATCTGCTATTTTATACATATTTCAATTAAAATTAATTAATACGCAAAAGTCAGATGAAGTAAAAATGTTGTTTTTAGTGATAAGACACAATTAAGACTATATATTATCTTGTATCTAGAAGCGCTATTCAAGAAATTTTAATGACAGAATATTCAATTGACATAGTGTGGTCTGTAAATATTTATTTTGGGACATACTTTTGTAAGGCATAATTAAGATTGGCTTCTGCTCTAGACATTGCTGCAATTCAAAAAATGTATTGAAAAATATTGCACTGTGTATTTGTTCAAAGTACAGACGTCAACAAATTACTTGAAAAGTATTTAATGTAAATACTGAAATATGATTTTCAGATTATATTAAAACAGTTTATGGACAGTAATTGAAATACTAAAGAAATGTAACAAAATTACATACTAAGCATATCAAAACAAGGAAATACTGTTGATAATTTAATCAGCACTTCCTTCGTATAATCGATTCATTTTAAATCAGATAAACATTGTAAATGCGGACAATGTGAAAAGAGATAGAAGTGTTCAACATGCTTTTCATTACACGATTAGTTAATAAAGAGTGGATCAAACCAAAGTTTTAACTGGAGACTTCATTGCCTTTCAGGTTGTGGAGAAGAGCAGCATGTCAAACACTCTCAAGATATCTAAAGCCACAGCTCAAGTGTCGTTGTTCTTATCTAAAACTTGACAGAAACTTTCAATAAGAACAGCGAAAACATCGGCAATTAACGTAGAGAAGCGAAAGCCACATTGAAAGAAAACAATGTAAAATGTGATGCCTAACTGATTCGGATTTGATTAGAGATTCTAGTACTTAGCGAAATAGTGGCATAAGATAAATAGGTCAATAATTCGAAAGTTTAGACGGTTCACTCGAGTTCTTAAAACAACAGATGATTACCAACAAGCTGGAAAGCAAGAAAAAGCAAAGCACGCATTGATATAGCGGATGTTACTCCAAGGATTGTCGTGAAGAAAATGGTGAAATGAATTCCAATCAGTGTGTTGGTAATAAAAATGACGAACTGTGAATAGTGGATTCTTGCCTAATAGACGAGTGGAAAGAAATATCTACAGAATGATCAGAATTGCCAAGAGAACAGAGTTGCAAGACACGACAAGAGTCCGAAGAGATATAGAAAAACTCAAGTATAGAAGCATGTCGGTCAGAATTATTCAGGAAAACCAGCATGGATATTTGACAGCGATTGAACAACTATAGCAAGTGGATACCAGCAAAGTCAGTGGTATTAGAATGATGAAGCCACTTGGCATGACGAACGTTAAAAATCGTCAAATACAAAGCTATTTAGAGTGAGAGAAAGAAAGAAAGAAAGAAAGAGAGAGAGAGAGAGAGAGAGAGAGAGAGAGAGAGATTGTTTTCTTTTTCAAACTGGTTTACTTCCAAATATTTTTTTACTATGTCTTATGTAGGAATTATACATCTAAATAAATTAACTTTAAATTACATAGAAATTACCGAGTGTTAAAATTATATTTATTAATTAGCACTTTGGTTTCTTTTCTTTGTTTTCTTTGTTTATAACAATGTAGAAAGCATTTAAATCAAAAGACACTCATAGATAATGCATTCTTTGAAATGAATCCATTAAATGAACGTTTTGAATATGAAAAGAAATCTGTAGAATCCGAGATGCAAATGACACTTATACCTAACATCAGAAAAAGAGCGATGAAATTTATAGGGTGCATAATGAGGAAAGAGGACTTGGAAAATTTGACACACACAGGAATTTCTGAAGGCAAGGATGACAAAGGATAGCGCATAACCTACCGAACGAGCATGTTTAATTTTTTTGTTTTCTAATAAGGTTCACCCTTTAGAAAGCCCGGGGGACACTTGTGGTAGAGGGTTACGTTAGGAGACAATTTTTGTGTATAGGAGTGGAAGATACCGGTTAACCCTAGCCTTGAAAAGTTTAAGATTGTAATGATCGGGAAAATATCCGGTTGGGAGTCACTTACACAGAACAGTAGTTCGCGGGGAGAAGCTGTTCAAGTGGAACTAAAATTTCTTCCGTATTCCGTTGGTGGGAAGTGAAGATTTAGGAGAAATAGCTAAAAGACAAAATTTACAAAATGCTACAAAGAACAGGAAGTTGTGAATAGCCATGAACAACAGAATCCTAATGGTATATGTCACATCATCATCATCATCTTGCGGCCTCAGCCGAGATTGAACTCACTAATACTTTGATTGGTGTAGTTCATAATCTTGTCAAATAGCTGAATTCTTGATGCTTCGCTAGGGCTATCAAGGGTGTTTTTATCGTGACACCATCACTAAATGGATTGCCAACCAAGGCTCAGAGAGACTCCATTCACCCTCCTCTAAGAGCAGGTTTGAATTCAGAGTTTTCCTTCTCCTAGACCAGTTGCCATCCAAGGCTATAGAACCCAGTGTGTATATGTCACATAGAAGACGGTATTCAAATACAAAATTATATAAATACTTAACATGCATTTCATATATACAGAGAAATGAACCCACTTTTTTGAAAGTACAAGTTTCGTCATCTCAATGTTAAGTACTTTGAACATCTATCTCTATAGAAAACTGTATTACTTTGCAGATCTTATATTTTTTATCATTTTACCTCAGGCAAGGCGGAATGTCACTAGTACGCGGGGTGGGGTATACAGGGAGTGAAATTGAGAGAAATGATTGAGTATAGGAAGGATTGAGGAAAGGGCAGATGATCTGGATTCAAGATAGCGATTGACATTTCATTTAAATTTTTGAAGATTTGAAGACAGGGAAACAAGGAAGCAGAAGGGAGTTCCACAGGCGGGAGTTGTGTGAAAAGAAACTGTTCGAGTAGAAGCGGCGGTTGTATTTAACTATTTCAATAGTAAACGGGTGGAGCCTAGATACCAATCTAAGTGGCACGCTTAAATTCATCTAGTCGGGTAAAAGGATAAATATCTCGTCATAGCAGTTGGCAGTTGCAGCTGAAAATATCTGCAGAAAAGACAGCGGGAACGCACATCACGTCTGTGAGAAAGTTGAGATGCCATGTAAGGATCGATTACCTTACAGATCCTTATTTGGATTTTGTCAAGAATCTTGAGATAAATAGCAGGAGATCCAGACCAGATATAGCAGTAGTATTCAATTCACGGACTAATGGTAGATTTCTAAATGTGCAAGATGGATTCTGACGAGAAATTTTTTTTCTGACACGTTACAGTAACCCATCCTTTTTTGCAGCAATTGATTCAATGTAGTCGTTCTCCTTCAAGAGAGGCAAAGTAGGCGCAGTGTATTGCTCTTCGGGAGACTAGCATCAGCCATTAAAATTGAATCAGTATAATTAATGCAGTTTTATGCTATTTTTACCTTTAAACATATATTATGTGCTCTTCCTATTTAAATGCCAACATCGATTTCAGCAAACATAATCCGAAACAGTTGAAGAAAGGTTAATATCTCATTTTTATGATTCTTGTCAGTGAACTTTTATAACTTATGAACCATTTATATAATAAAGTTTAATATAATGTTCCTAATATGCCGTAAAATAGACTGTGTTTCGGCATTAGCCCGTCATAACGGTTTGACACATGATTCAGATTAGATTTAAGATGCATCAATCACTATTGATAAGGTTAATGCTTTTTAAAGGTATTGAAATGTATGACACGTTTAATATTTAGTTCTGTTTTAAAGCCTAAGCGTAGAACGTCAGACTTTAAATATATGAAGGTTACTGTCTACAGTGCGAAAGCGGGAGAAGTTTTACACGCATTTTAAAATCTACCATCGTCATGTTTTATCTTTTAATCTCATCAACTGGAAATAACATTTACAGTTGGCTATTTTAAGGATTCAATGTCTCTTGTGATTATCTGGATTTAGCAGCAAATGTATTAAATCCCTGTAAACTTTAATGTCAAAGAGTAAACATTCCGATTAAACCTTATTAGAATGGGATTGATTTTACATTCGTGACATGAAAAGAAAGTCATTGGTCTATTTTCAAAAAAAGTAAGAGCTGAAAAATTAGAAAGAACTGAAGATAAAAAGGAATTACAATGTAGAACATAAGAAAAAAAACATTTGAAGAAAATATGTTTAGTGGACGAAAAAACGAAAAAGACGGAAGGAAAGAAAGAAGTCTAGATGAGTTAATTCCAATGTAGTAACAAGTTAAATAATATAGTATATATTTTACTTAATGTTCAAATTCATACAATTCTTAAGATTATTCAAGTAAACAATAATCTTCCACGTTTTAGAAATATTTTAGGAAATCTAATTTTATGAAAGCATGACCCACAATATTATGCAAAGAGGCAGTACACTGTTTGGACCTGTGTTGAGTACTCAGTGCAAGTTTGTTTGATAAGGCGTCGAAAAACATTAATTGGAACTTATTAGACATTTTAGACATTCAATTTTGGAAAATGTATTCCCATCTATCTATTGTTTATTAAACATTGATAAACAAAGTACTGCGAACACGTTACAGAATGCATAGGCTGGAAACGTAGATGGTATAAATGATGATTGCAACTTCTACTTTGATCTGAACTGAATAGAGGCGGTTTTAACCCCATGCGACATAGAATTCTGATAGTTATGGATTGTCTCTGTCACAATTTTGTTTGAAGACTGAAAAACGCAAGCAAACGGAGAATACGTTAACGGCAATAATACATCCGAGTCTTCCTTAGAACTAGGAAACAGAGCAAAAAGACAGGAAATAAATGAAAAAAAAAAACCAAAAAAACAACAACAACAAAAAACAAGCAAACAATAAAGCAGAGAGCAAATAATAAAAAAAAAATTCAAACATCAAATATGTAAGAAAATGAAACAGAGAAAATAAGTAAAAGAAATACAACTAAGATCAAATAAGTGTAAAAAAAAACGGATTGGAAGTAGGGAAAAGGAAATCAATCAATCGGGGAAATAAGAACGAAAACAAGGAGAGAAAATATAGGGGGCTGCAGCCAGGAAATAATAAAGTATGCAGATTAGAAATACAAAAAAAATATGGAAACCAATAGGAAATAGGGAAAATACATGGAGTAATTTGAAAAGAAAGCAAAACGGCAGGAAATAAGAAAGCAAAACCTACCAGGAAATAGTAAGTCAGACAGGAAACAGGAAGTCAGACAGGAAATAGGAAGTACGACAGGAAACAGGAAGTCAGACAGGGAATAGTAAGTACGACAGGAAATAGGAAGTCAGACAAGAAATATGAAGTCAGACAGGAAATAGGAAGTCAGACAAGAAATATGAAGTCAGACAGGAAACAGGAAGTCAGACAGGAAATAGGAAGTACGACAGGAAACAGGAAGTCAGACAGGGAATAGGAAGTCAGACAAGAAATATGAAGTCAGACAGGAAACAGGAAGTCAGACAGGAAATAGGAAGTACGACAGGAAACAGGAAGACAGAAATAGGAATAGTCAGACAAAAATATGAAGTCAGACAGGAAACAGGAAGTCAGACAGGAAATAGGAAGTCAGACAGGAAATAGGAAGGCAGACAGGAAACAGCAAAGCAAACCATCGGGAAAGAGGAACGAACACAGTAACTGTAGGAATACAGAGAGGAAAAAGAAAATCAAACAGTTTAAAAATAGAAAAAAAAAAGTTAGAAACAGACAAGAAATAGGAAAAAAATAAGCAGACAGGAAATAAAAATAGAAAAGCGAATGAACAAACGAACAAAATAAATAAATAAATAAAACAACTAAGAAGAAAGCCTGATATAAAAAAAAGATACTATTTACTTTTCTTACATTGTGATATAATTTTGTCGAGAAGCTTTTTGTAAAAATACTAACCTGCTTGTAACCATAATAGTAATGCTAATTTTATTTTTGAAAATACAGAGCTTTAAATAAAATATGGCAATTTCCCAGTGGAATAATTCTTAGAAAGCTAATTTCGTAGACCACGATTAGTTAACTTGTAATGCGGTAGTGTTCAGTCAGCCAAAATATCGCAGGACTTTATTAACTATTGTATGTTCGGTCCTCACTTTACTGTCTATACCAGTGTCCTTGACAGGTACAGAGCTAAAGATAGTAAATATAGATAGATTAAATCCTGGCAATGATAACTGATTATCCCTCTAATAAGATTGACAGTGAATAAAGTCTGTCTATGGACTATGATTTAATATAGAGAAAAAATATTGGAACTTCAAACAAATATATAAATATAGAGAAAACGTAATACCAGAAATAGTGATGTACAATTAGTCCAAATTCTAATTCGCACTATATACGATATTTATAATTATTACCGATATTTTATTCATATGAATATAAAATATCGGTAATAATTATAAATATAATTATATAATGTTAAATCGCTTACGGCCATATCACGTAGAAACAGCGGTTCTCGTCCGATCACCAATGTTAAACTACATCGAGTCTGGTCAGTACATAGGGGGATTACCGCTTGTGTATATCAGATGATGTAAGTTTGGATGTAATGTGTAGGTGGTGTAAGAGATAACGGCTCGGAATAAATAATCAGAGAGCAGAGTTCGAATTCCAGTTGGGTGCGTCACACGCAAATATCGTGGACGATCTTGAATCGAAAAGGAAAATGATCGACCAAGCGTGTGACATTGGCCACCGTAAGGTAATGGCCCCTTCTTCCTCACAAATGGAATCTGGGGGAAGGCATCCGTCCAACAAAAGAACTTCACAGGCAGAGAAGTAGAAAAAGAATTTAAAAAAAAAAAAAAAATAGAACCAAGATTAGAAACAGAATTAGAATTCGAATTCGCATTACTTCTTGCCTTGTTTGGGTCTCCTTTATTGCTTTCGACCCAGGAATTAATGTGTTATGATGATCTAGCATTTGCTATGGAAAATAACAAATACAATTTAAGTAGTACAAATTAACATTTGGTAATGACACTAACCATTGCTCCACCTTGCCTCCTATATAGGAGGCAAGGTGGAGTAATGGTTAACGTCTCGGATTCAGGGATCAGAGAGCCGAATTCGAATTTCAGTCAAATCTATTACATTCACTTATGTGCTAATACACAAGAGAAAGGCATGATTCCTCTTCTTCAGACAAACCGGGTTCTATATCGTTGGATGGCAATTGGTCTACTACAGAAAGAAATGGCAACCTACTGCGGGAAAAATCTGCCCTGTTGAATGATACATGATCACCTAGGCGTGTATCACGCATGACACATAACTGACTGAATGTCTCATAATTTCGGATAACTTTCAGTCAGTCATTTATGGGCCATGCGTGATGTACGCTTAGGTGATCTTTCGATACATGACTGACGAGTCAGATTTTTTCCCAAAGTATTTTGACATTTCTTTCTGCGGTAGACCATTTGCCATCCAAGGCTATAGAACCCGGTCTGTTCTGCTATTTACCTATAGCTGTGAGGAGAAGGAGAGGGTTCATACATTTGCCAAGATTATTGGTACGTAAGTGAATGTAATGGAGTCGACTGGAATTCGAACTCGACTCTCCACTTCCTCAATCCGAGCTGCAATCCAATACCATTCAATATAGTTGATCTAGTTTTATGAATCAACATTGATGCACGTGAATTGGGAGTACAGATTTCTAGAATCCATTGTCTTACTTATATTTCCTTATATTTATATAAACAAAATCTAAATCCTGATTAATAGGAAGCATATTACCATTCTAAAAAAATGGGTTATTGTTTATTTATTAAAGTTTTTTTTAGTAATTATTAGATTTATTTATTTGGTTTATTTTGTTTTAGGGCATATCAACATCAATGCCGACGAGATTTTTAGAATAAATTCGTTTGTTTGTTTGTTTGTTTAGCGGCATATCGACTCTTTATGAGTCATTTAGTGCCGAAATTTAATTTACTTGCTTTTTTGATGGCAACGAACACTCGTTGCCACTTTTGTAATGTCAACGAATACTCGTTGTCACTTCCGTAATGCTCGCTGTAGTAGAGATTGCTATTTACCCATAGCTGGTGGGAGACGAGGAGGATTCATACATTTCCCAAGGGTATTAACACGTAACTAAATATAATGGGTTCGACTGGAATTCACACTCGGCTCTCCGATTCCTCAATCCGAGTTACAACAGTTTTTATTGGTAATGATAATATTAACCGTTTCCCTATAAGGAAACATTTGGTATTCATTGATCGAGCGGCTTGTACGACTGTTTTTTAAAAAATTATAAAAACATTCTCTATGAAAATTTTTCAGCACAAAAACTTTCTCAAGTCCAGTAGATGTTATGATTCTTTCCAGTATTTATGAGTAGTTTCCTTACTAATCTTTTATTTGAAGTAGTGTGAAAGGTCAACATTTTTAATATTTATGTAGATAAATGGGTCTATTTATTAAAATTAAGAAAATGAAACTAATTACAATTTTTATTGATTCTTTTATAGATATATCTCGTTTCATTTACAGACATTAATAATTTTTATAGAATTTTTTTCAGTCACATTTATCTACACATAAAACTGACAAATTCTAATGCTTTTTTTATGGAAGTATAATTAAAATGCACCTTTTAGAATTTACAGTGTCGAATCACTTCAGGCATTTGATTGCTGTAAACATCTCCGATAACCTATTCCCTTTATCGTCAACGAATGTCGGTAGTTTCCATGTCTTGACATTCCGATTCATAGGTGAACACGACAAAATGAATAGATGTTGAGAGCTTGAATCAAACGCATACGTCATACTGCTGACACCGAAAACAGCCGGGAGCTGAAGTAGTCACGTGACCACCTGTCTTTCGTGATTTTCACATCCAGCAGCGCTTGAAAAAAAAAAAAAAAAAAAAAAAAAAAAAAGATTAAAAATGCACGAGTCAGGCGCCCTCAAAGGATAATATTTCCTCGAATAAAAGAAGACAAAAATATTTGAACAAAATTAACATTGATGCCAGCATACTTTCTCAAATGACTGCGCAGATCCAAGATTAGCCAGCGGCGAGAAGAGAAAATTCAGCGGGATTTTTCCCATATTTTGCTGAGTGGAAAACACAGAAAAATCGCACACAAATCAAGCTGAGTGATGTAACCGATCAAAACACTAATCAAATTTAGAGTAAAAAATATACTTAGCCACAAATGAATAGTAAGTCTTTTCATTCTTTTCCACTCTCACTGTCTCCCTTATGATTTAGTGGCTTTATCGCCTTGCTTGGGATGACATGATAAAAAATAACTAACAAAATTTCATGTGCCGTGCCACAAATGGGCAAGAGTGGAGATTGTAGGTGTCAGGGAAGCAAGAAACCAAAAGAGAATTCTACAAGAGAGAAGTAGGATAAAAGAAGCGATTAGAATAGAACATATGGTTATATCTGGCTATTTCAACAGTAAAAAGATGGGACCTAGTTGCCAATCTAAAACTACACTTAAATTCATGTGGCCGAGGTAACAAGGAAGGAAACTCAATTAGAACCACTACTATGAAAATATTTATAGAAAAGACAGAGGGAAGTAACGTCACAGTGGTGCGAAATTGACTGTAGTCGAGATGCCAGGTCAGGACCGATAACATTACACACCCTTTGGATTTTGTTGAGAATCTAGAAATATGTCTGGAGCCAGATATGGTAGTAATATTCAATGCACAGACGAATGGTAGATTTATAAATGTGCAAAATGAATTCTGGCGAGAAAAATTGTCTGACATGACACGATGAATCAACTTTCTTAACAGCAGACCAATTCTGGAGTTTAGCATCAGCCATGCACATGGAGGACAAAAATATTTTGTCTATGATTTAAGGAAAGTAGTTTCGTTTTAGAGACCTATTATGCCTACTACTAAGATTAGATTAAATAAATGTGCTATGAGCATAAATACCTATTTGGAAACTGATGATATCTGGAAGGTTGATGAAGAAAAGAAAGCATATATGTCCAAGATAGATCCTTAGACGACCCCTCATTAATTTGAAAGAATCTAGAAAGTGGTCATTATGCTGTAGTTGTGTTACGTAATTATTGTGCTTTGTGACAAATTTTAAAAAATAACTGATTTTAAAAGCCAGTAATATTAACTGCATTTCGAATAGGTAAAAATTAAAGTAAACTATTCAAAAAATATTAACGTAAACTATTCAAACAAACTAGATAACAAATTAAGAACAAACATTTGCAGTACTATTCCCATATTCATGTTATGAGTTACACTCCCACAAAGATAGCACACGAGATGCGATTTTTTCTTTTGACTCTAGAGGAAAGGCTATATCGAAGATGATTTTGAAAACGTCGAGATTGAAGCATTTTGGAAACACCTGCAAACAAAGCAGTAATTGGCATTTATTTTGGGAATTAGGTTATTTTTTTTTTCTTATTAATATGAAAAATACAGATAATTTGGTCATGAATATTGTTATTCAGATAAGATCTGGGTGATATCACTTAGTGATTCAAGACTTCATGTGACGGCAATCAAGCCGCTGTTCCTGCTGCACATAATTACAAGTGCTTGTTTGTTCATCACACACATATCCAACTTGTGGCTAATATTCCAACTATGCTGAGCAGACTTTAGTTAAGGTTTCTAGAGAGAGCGTTTCATATGGGGTGATCAATAGCTGAACAAACCCAGTAACCTCAAACCAACAATCGACAGCTTTCGAAGTGTTTTTTCTACGGAATTTCACTCAAATGGCTTGGATCGACCCAAGATATGGTTTTCAAGCACTTTCCAATATATATATATATATATATATATATATATATAAATGGACAAAGTCCGACAATTTATTTATTAAAGACATTTTTATGTTTAACGTTCTTTTTTATAGATACAAGTATTTAAGTAAATGCTCTGTTTATTAAATAACATTTACCGGCCTGAATGTCCGAGAAATTTTCATAGAAATTCGTCCTTTGACAGGATTCGAACCTGCATCCTATACGGAACTGTCATTTACGCTGACGTGCCTTACCGTCTCGGCCATAAAGGAGCGTTCGGTAGGCAAGGTTGAATTTACTGCTTATAAACTTCAATCTTCCATGAATCTCGTACATTCATAACTGCTCTGGCGTATCAAATGTAAACAAATGACGTCATATATTAAGAAATGGACAAAGTCCGACAATTTATTTATTAAAAGACATTTTATATTTTAACGTTCTTTTTATAGATACAAGTATTTAAGTAAATGCTCTGTATCTATAAAAAAACGTTAACGTTAAACATAAATATATATATATATATATATATATATATATATATATATATATATATATATATATATATATATATATATGTTTTATATGGTATAAAATGACAATTGAAAAAAAAGTTAGTTATTTTGCCGACGCGTTTCGTCTTCCGACATTTCAAGGCAAAAATGAAATCGAAATGTTTTTGTTGTTATAGTTACATTACAAAATCCATATATAAAAAAGAGAGACGTTTCTGCGTAAGCCTCTTTCTGGTTAATGTAAATTTCCTTTAAAGTAAGAATTTCTTTCTTTCCATGTCGACAATATATTTAAATTCTGTGGACAAGAATTGCTTTGAGAATTCAAATATATTGTCGACAAACAAAGAAAAAAAACTTAGTATAAAGGAAAGTTACATTAACCAGAAAGAGAGCTTTTTTTTAGAGCTCTCATTATATGAAAATTATTACATATGGGATTTGAAATGTTTCATAGTTTTTAATTAATATATATACTTATTAGATATTCCTACATAGTTTAAGGTTTTCAAATCATAAGTATTCCAGGATGGAGAAGTATTTCTGTCTTAATTCACATTCAGTGCCATTTAGTTTTTTTTATTAGTCTCATACCAACTATTGATGCTGGAGGCAAGCTCATAACGTTTTCGCCTGCAAGAAAAAACTAGATGAATACATACCTACTTACTTAAACACAGGCGACATCAGCAAATAGATGCATATGCACGTTAATTTTATCATGGTGTTACGAATGATAAAATAATTCTAAAAGCTAGAGTGATTTTAAAGAGTAAATGCTGAAATTGTCAATGTAGAAGCAGTAGTAAAAACAAAATCAAACAATAGGGTGACTGCAATAAAGTAAACAGAGAAAAATCCCTATTCATAGAAAGCACTTTGGGAAACGTTCAAAAGTTGAGAGGCAATTTATGCAAGAAGAGACAATCCTGCTGTGACAGTCAGTATGTGTCGGTTTGTGTGACAAAACAAAAGACAAACAAATCCTAACAGCAAACTTCCAATAGCAACAGCTTATTTTAAGCATGCAGTAAAGATACGATTTCTTATACATCATAATAGGTTTTAGAAACCTTAATGGCGTATCGGGTTTTATTGAACACCGTATACAAAATGGTTTTCTTTTATTAGAAAAAAAATTCTTTTAATATTCTAAGTATAATCTGAACTATAAAAAAGCGAATAAATGTAAACAACACTTTTCGAGGCAGTTTTGCTGTTACAAAGAATTTTGGCGCTTATCTTTCTATACCCTTTATAGTTTTTATTCAGTTTTCAACTCACATTAGTAGACGATATTTACTAATAGGTTAACATATTTGCCTTGTAGCTCTATTGCCACGGGCTATTCAGATATCTTCTCTTTTATGTCCGACATGGACGCGTCTAGGAGAAACCCAACAAAAATATAAATGGAGTGTGTGTGTCAACAGTGAAGCAAAAAATTAGTATCAAAGAAAAAGATAAACGGATCAGACATATACGGAGAGATTATAAATATACAGAAGTAATGTAGCATAACTGAAATGGTTTTGGTTCCGCTATCCATGTCTAAGGATGCCTCTTCTTGTTTTCTTTATTATTGATCAATTATTGCCGGTGCTGTTTTACTGTGTTACTGCTGTCCATATTTAGGGATATCTCGTTCTTTTTTTTTTAAATCGTGCTCAATTACTGCCCACCCCTATTTCCATTGAGTTAGTTTCTTCTTGATTTGCATGAATATGCAGTCTTGCTTTACAATGTAAACTGGAGTTTGTCGAGTCGCCGTTATTGTATGCAACTGCTGTATTATATCGTCCTGATCTTATGGGACAATCAAGTTGTAAACTGACAGATATCAGTTACTTTCTTTTAGAGATGATCTAATCTAGTTTAAATGTGCACTTCAAAATCATACCTTTCCTGCTGATGAGGACGAAACAATTATCCAAATACATTTTTCTACGTAAACAAGTTTGTATAGACGTTGCCAGAATCATATATATATATATATATATATATATATATATATATATATATATATATATATGTATGTATGTATGTATGTATATGTATATATAAAAGAGAGAGAGAGAGAAAGAGAGAGAGAGAAAGAGAGAGAGAGAGAGGTACATTCACTTACGTGCTAATACACTTGGGAAAGGTGTGAATCCTCTTCTTCTCCCTCCAGCTATGGGTAAATAGCAGGACAGATTGGGTTCTATAGCCTTGGATGGCAATTGGAATAGGAGAAGGACAACTTTGAATTCAAAACCTGCGGAGGGTCGTTTGCGGACCTTGTGGCACTTTGTGCACCGGGTCTCTAAATTCGGCCCTTCAAAAAGTGTGGCTGGTCTTGCATGAAACCTTCTCCACTATAATCAAATCTCATGTGCTGTTGTCGGGCTGTCGGAACTGATCTGCTTGACCCTCATACGTCGAATATCAACGGGAAATATTGTTTTGGAACGTGCGGTCGCAACGCTGAGTTTGAATTTAAATTTTAAGGTTATGCGTTTTTGTACGTTCCAAAACAATAACACATTTCTCATAGCATTTTTTCGGATTACATCTCTATTTTCGTTGTCCTCTTATTACCGAGAAGTAAAAACAAGAACAAAATCTACTTCCATACCTGAGGATGTCTGTAGGAACAGACGAAAGGTTGTAAAAATTAAAAGACCTTATGCAACTGGAATTTATGAACAGGGATCATATCATTCATATACAGGTTTGGGGTTGATGTATCTCATTTATATTGTTTGCGAAGATGTATTCTCGCCATTTAAATCATTAACCTCTATATTTGTTTTTTTTGTATGAATGATTCATGAATTTCTAAATTATAATTTGCACCTTTAATTGAAATATATATATATATATATATATATATATATATATATATATATATATATATATATATACTAGCAGAGCATTATATGTTTGTCAAGAAAATGACATTAAGAAGTGAAAAATAATAATTATTATTTTCAAAAGCTCCAAATTTTAATTCATCCTCTAGAAAAAAAAAAATGTATTTATATGGATGTATTTCTTTTCTCTGACGCCCAAAACGAAACTGAATAAAGTAGTCGTTTCCGTGGGACTACCAGGTCATCACACAAGAGAAAGTTAACGTATTAAAGAAAGCAAATAATGGCTGCATTTCAATGATTGAATTACATAAAAGCAAGCATTTGAAACAAGAAACCTAGCGACAAACAAATAGCATTGTCTATTCGTTTAAATCTAGGGAAATATCAGATACATTGATAAAAATAGACGGGAAAGTGGAAGTTACTCGCCTTTTCATATTTACGGTCCTTCATTAATTCATTAATAAAATTCTGAATATTCGGAAACATGTTAAAACACAGTGGAATTTTTCTCCAGCAGAAAATGATTATGTCTAAATAGAGGCATATACATGAATTTCAACACAGGCTAACAGACAGAGCGAATGAGAGAACAAGGGAGAGAGAGAGAGAGAGAGAGAGAGAACAGACAGAGCGAATGAGCGAACGAGAGAGAGAGAGAGAGAGAGAGAGAGAGAGAGAGAGAGAGAGAGAGAGAGAGAAACAGACAGATCGAGCGTGACAGAAAGACAAACAGAGCGATCGTGACAGACTACCAGAGTGAGCGAGCGGGACAGAAAGACAGGCAAAGCGAGCGAGCGAGACAGAGAGAACGAGACAGAAAGACAGAGTGAGCGTGACAGATAAAAAGACAGAGTGAGCGAGTGTGACAGAAAGACAGATCGAGTAAGCAAAACAGACAGAAAGGCAAATCGACAAGGACCTAGAGAGCGAAACAGACAGACACAGAGCGTGCGAAATAGATAGGCACAGCGAGCGAAACAGAAACTGACAGACACAAAGCGAGCTGACAGAGAGACAGAAACAGAGCCAGCGTGACGGACAGACAGACAAACACGGAGCGAGAGGGAGAAAGAAGGACAGAGAGAGATGGACGGAGAAAGAGAAAGGGAGAGAGACACAGAAAGATGGAAAGGGTGAGGTTCAGATCCAAAAAATCCTAAGTCAGAGGTCGTAATTCCAAAGGTCAAAAATTATTCGCAAGTTCAACGTCAGAAAATGACAGGACCGTAAATCAAAATGGCAGTTATAGAGAGACAGGGAGATAGAGAAATACAGAAACAGAAAAAAGAGAGAAACAGAGACAGAAAGAGTGAGACACACAGAGAGGCAAATAGTGTGAGATTTGGGTAAACACAGAGAGAGAGAGAGAGAGAGAGAGAGAGAGAGAGAGAGAGAGAGAGAGAATGTGAAAGAACGAAGGTTTATCCTGAAATATATAGAAAAGCATGTACATACATAATTATTATAGAGAGTGTTCCTTTCCAGAATTAATTAGGGGGCTATACAGATTTAATGATTAATAAACAGTTTGTATTAAGATAGGAAAACCTAAAAACAGAATAAAGTTCGACTGTACTAGAATAATGTAGGAAATTCGAGATGGTTAATAGTACTTACACCATACAGTTATTTTCCAGAGATATTTTCAATTATCTGAGATTATTTTGAATACGATAGTCCAGGATAAAAACCTGAAGATCTTCAAATTATAGATATACAAGAGATGTGTCAGTTCATATCGTCGTCAACTAGCATGCATGGAAAGTCAATGTTCATAAATTTCATCTTGCACAAACACCAAACGGGAATCCAACATATAATGTATTAGACACAATTTCAGTCTTTAGTTCCACATTCAAATAGCTACTCTACTTGAAAAAAGTAAGGACCCGCGTCATCATAGAAGTAGTATTGTTCAGGGTACCCCACAAAAAAAAAGAAAAGAAAGAAAGAAAAAAAAGAAAAAGCAAATTTGGTAGTTATTTAATTGTTGGAATATTTGTTACAGTTATTTCGAACAACAGCAAAATATAGGAATTTAGTCGCTTAAAACAACAATAATACAAATGTTAGATGTGGTGTTCAATCGAAAGAACTCAGGAAAAATTTCTTGGCACTTTTACAGTCCCCAAGTTGGATGTTCTTTCTTAAAGAGAACAATCATATCGCGTTGAAAATTTGATAGCTGCGGCATCTTGGAACAACAAATGGTTAAAAAATAATAATATGCTACTTCATTTTTTTAGTTCATTGATATACTAAAATATATAGTTAATTTTTTATATGTTAGTTAATTTTTTTCATCATATAGCAAATCTAAACTTTCCTGATTTTTTTGAGGCACACTGTATATTGTTTTATTTTAAATGACATTAAACTTATGCAAAGAAGAAAGTCTTGATTCCGACTGAACGACATTACTGTAAAAATATAATTTTTCTTTCATATATATTATCATTCAGGACGTAAGCGGTCATGCTTCTCCCCAATTTCCTAGCCTTTGTAGCACCAAGCACTATTTCTTTCCTTACTAGGTCAATGTTCTACCATCCATTTATACAGGCTCATTAGGTAGGTTACTCGAATTTTCCCTCTGTCCCCACCCATGCATCTAGTACGTCCTGTGAGTGTCAAATTCTTCAAGTCATCTTTCTTCATTGTGTCCTATAAATTTCAACTATCTCTTTCTGATTCTAAGTAAAAGTCTCCTTTTTGTTAACATTTTTCTTAAAGCTTCCTTGTTGCTCACATGCGTCATCCATGACATTCCAAGCATCATTCCGTGGAACCACATCTGTTGCATCGGGGTTCTGTTTATATGTGAGGAAATTAGGAAACATTCTCTACCATATAGGAAAATTGATATTATACTGCGCGTCAGTAATCTTTTCTTTGTTTCTATTTTTTCCTGTTTCTTAATATTTTGTTTAGCATTTGAAAGGCATCTTTCGCTATTCCAATGTACCTTCAGATTTCTGTATCGCATTTTCCGTCGTCTATTAAAACATTTCCCAGATACTTACATTTCTCTACCTGCATGATATTCAACATTTAAAGTCGTAGAACGCATGTGAAGCTGTTCCTGTTGCTAAAGACCAAAGAATATATCTTTATATTTGGCAGTTAGTCCTTTCTTACCACTTTCTTTTACTACCTTTTATCGGAGTTCATGTAGTTTTCACACTGTTTTGATATCAACATAATGTCAACTGTATATCGTATATTGTTAAGCAACGGCGAGTATGGTCAGTATCTAGATGGGTAACAGCTTGGAAATACCAGGTGCTGAAATCTTGGATTTGCGGGTGGTGTTATGGATAACGTTTCGGAACTGGGGATTGGAGGGCTGAGGTATGAATCCACCTATTCACCTATAAATTATCGGTTAATTATTATGATTTGTATCAGGAAATCCTTAAAATTCCAAAACGTTCTTACAATATAAAATCATTTTCTGGTTTTAAACAACCTTCTGGTTGATAAGCCGTAGAAAAGGAATCAATCAATATACTGCATCTACCAATAATTTCACGTCCTGGAGATGACGATAAAATATATCTGGAAGCAAGACCTGACTTGGGGTGGTAGCACATGTTAGGGTCCTGATAATGCGCAAATAGTTAACCTCAAACTAGGGTCAAAAGACAATAAAAGTAGATTTATATAGTAAAAATTCCAGTAATATATATTTAAAAAAATACCAGAATTACATTTTTGAAAAAAAGAAAAGAAAACAAGATTTACAGCAATACATATTTTTAAAAGAAAATACTAATGTTCCCAAGTGTTAGTTAGGGATAAAGTGCCGACACTGCCGACACTGGAGTTTGAACACAAATCACCAGAGAACAAACACAGGCGATCCCATTTTGAATAAGTAGATCACGTGACGGTAAATGAAATATATATATATATATGATTTAGCGTGGCGTCTAAACAATCACGTTTCCTATTCTATCCTCTATTACTATTTAAGTATCACTGTTTACACTCTCCTCTATCTCTATGCCATTCACGATACTATTTCTCTATTTCGATCACTATACGGATCGCTATTCGGTGGTTAATTCTCGAGCGAGTATTATCGAGCAAGTATTATTAGTGCAAGTGTTATTCGAAAGCATCTGACACTACTATTGTTACTATATTTGTATCTGCGATTACAAAGTCTCTACTACAACGAGCATTACGAAAGTGACAAAGAGTATTCATTGACATTACAAAAGTGGCAACGAGTGTTCGTTGCCATCAAAAAAGCAAGTAAATTAAATTTCGGCACTAAATGAGTCGATATGCCGCTAAACAAACAAACAAACGAATTTATTCTAAAAATCTTGTCGGCATTGATGTTAATATGCCCTAAAACAAAATAAACCAAATAAATAAATCTAATAATCACTAAAAAAAAAAATTAAACAAATTTAAATAAATAAACAATAACCCATTCTTTTTAGAATGGTAATATGCTTCCTATTAATCAGGATTTAGATTTTGTTTATATAAATATAAAGAAATATAAGTAAGACAATGGATTCTAGAAATCTGTACTCCCAATTCACGTGCATCAATATCGATCCTTAAAACTAGATCAACTATGTTGAATGGTATTGGATTGCAGCTCGGACTGAGGATGTGGAGAATTCCAGTCGACTCCATTACATTCACTTACGTGCTAATACCCTTGGCAAATGTATGAACCCTCTCCTTCTCCTCACAGCTATGGGTAAATAGCAGAACAGACCGGGTTCTATAGCCTTGGATAGCAACTGGTCTACCGCAGAAAGAAATGGCAAACTACTGCTGGAAAAATCTGCCTCGTCAGTCATGTATCTTTTGATACATGATCGAATAAGCGTGTATTACGCATGGCACATAACTGACTGATATTGAATCATCTGGTCGCTTTGATTTGTTGAAATTTTGATTTGTTATAATCAATAAAACAACCTTGTCAAGCATAATTTTTCCCCTCAAATAACGTACTTTATGGCATCGAATCTCTACATAAAGCGAGTATTTATGTATCATATAACGATCGGGCTATTTGCGCAAAGAATCTGCTATAAGGTCGGCGAGTAATTGGACTGTATCAGACTCGTTTCAATCAATCGATAAGCTGAAGGCGTGAATATCAGAAATTTTCAAAGTAAACAAGTGCAGATCGATGCAATAATCAATAGCTCATGCTGAGACGAACGGAAAATATATACGACTTAATGTGTCTCCAGATTTTCAATCTGGATATTGCATAAGAGACCTACGTAGGTATATCAATAAGTCTACTGTTTTATTTGACATAGACATACTTATTTTCTGAAATAATATCCTTCCTTTCCAATGTACATAATTCAGTGGTGACTATTTTTTAATATTCCAGATCATATTTAGGCTAATGTGTCAAGATAGGTACTTATTGATCTATCATTGTACATAGAATATCAAAATATAAGATGGAAATTTATATTAGATTCAAGAATCTGAAAAAAAAAAAGAAAATCTTATCGGTCCTGACCTAGCATCACAGATTCAGTCACTCTTCCACCCCCTCAATGTAAATTCACCGTGACTTTTATATGAATATTTTCCTGGTAATTTTTCTGATGTTTCCCATATTTAAGCGCAGTTGCAGATTGGCATACCATTGCCAGACATGGCCTCCAACAAATATCTTTGAGAGGAAACTGATCACTTGTGAGATGAAATAACTGAGAAAAGAAGTGAACAAGACCAGGCTAGACAAGATCAGGAATGAGGCAATAAGAGATATGATATGAGCAATACCAATCATACACCACATAGAACGACAGAGGATCAAGTGGTTCAGACACCTCACTCGTGTGCCTATCAATCAACCCACCCTACGAGCATACACGCTCAAATACTCTGGCTGGAGAGCGAGAGATGAAGACGATGCTGGAGCGACTTAGTGGCAGACACTCTCAGAGCCAATGAGATATCTCTTCTACAGACCACTCGCCTTCCCGCTGACAGACGACTGTGTCACCCCGTGACGCCTAACAGCACAAGAGGAAGGAAACACTAAACTAAGGTAAAATAGATTTGCAGCTAGATCTCATCAATTTACAGTTGAAATTGATATAAGTATAAATTCTATACTAACAGTTGCTTCTCTCACACTTCTGGCTGATAGAACACTTATCCGGTTTGTGGCGTTACAGTAAACTTTTATCTTTAAAAATTCAAAAGCAATATCAATCTTTATATTTTGTCTTTTTAATTACTGTACTTTTCGTGGGTTTTATTTTACTATTACACCCATCTCATCCCGGACTATACTTTTATGGTATGTTAGCAGTCAACTGACCAATGACAGTGATGTAAGGACGGAATTCATTATGTGTATTAGTTAAATAAGTGATATAGGTGTAATATTAAAAAGAATTACATTTAATTGCTCCTTCTACTTAATAATGTTTTTTTTTATTC